AAAAAGCCTAAATGCCTTGGAGATGGGAGAAATGCAGGCAAATGTATTCAGGGTAAATCTTGTTTAGTTAAATACATTTGCAGGTTGAGTAACCCTTATCCAAAATGCTTGTGATCAACAGTATTTCACATTTCAGAGTTTTCAGAGCTTGAAACATTTGCATAAGCTTGCTAAATTGAACATCCCTAACGTGATTATCCAAAGTGCTCCAAACTCTGAGACCTTTTTAAGCTCTGACATGGGGCTCAAAAAAATTTCAGATTTTGGAACATTTTGGATTTTGTATTAGAGAAGCTCAACCTGTTTTTGAAAAATTTTTAATGACTAATAAAAAATATGTTTTGAAGAAATTAAACTAATATAAAGGATCACTTGAACCACTACAATATAGTGCAATAGCTAAACTTAGAAAGATTGCCCACCCCACGAGTTGCAAATATGTAGGGTGACTAGAACTCTCTGATGTTGCTTGTGGACACAAAGGGCGTAATTATCTTAATTTACTAGTCCAACTGTTTAAATATAGGATAACAGAAAGTTGCATTTTTGTTGATTATTACAATATAACAGGAAATGTAAAAATGACAGTTTTATCAAATCTATTCAATACAAGAATTGCCTGGCTGAACGATGCCTGCCTGCACGATCCTTGGGTTAGTTAGTACATAAACAAATGCTCTGTCTGAGTGCTATTTAGGGTAAACTGTTAAGTGGTTAAGAAAGGGTCTATAAATTTCTCTTAAAATCATGTACACACATATACCACAACCTAGCAATTCCACATCGAGGTGACACTAAGAGAAATGAAAACACACATCCACATGACACCTGCATGAGACTGTGCATGGCAGCTTTACCCAGATACTCAAAGTCTGGCTTCCTCCAGGCATTCATGAATGGGATAATCCCTCAGTATGTTTATAGGATGGAATACTACTCATCTGCCAACAGCAGCAACCTGCTGGTAATGCACAACAGGTGACCCCCCAGAAACATTACACCAAGTGAAGGCAGCCAGGCTTATGTGGCTACGTGCCATGGAATTTCATTTCTCCAAAGTCTTAGAACATGTAAGCCAGCCCTGACAGAAAACAGTTGGCAAGGAGGTGCCTGAGCAGGAAGTTTCGTGATGGGATTTCTGGCATGATGGCAGCTCTGTGCTGGATGAGAACATGCAGAGGGCTATTCATTTGTTAGAGCTTACTGGTGGTATGCTGAGGATCTGCACATTTCACTTTATGTGAATTTAAACACAGAAGGCTTGGGATGAGTAAACGGATACTGAACTCTAATGAATCTATACTGAGGTGTTTCAGGATAAGTGTAAAACAAACTGTATCACACTGTGAACTGAATAAGAAATAAGATGTGTTGATGCATAGATGGAGGGGTAGAAAGAGAAACAATAAAGTTAACAGAGTAAAATGTAAATGTTACAGTGTCACTGGTAGGTATATGGATGTTCATATAAAATTCCTCCCATGTTTTCATGTATTTGAAATACTTCACAATAAAATAAAGCTTTTAGTTAAGAAAAAAAGGACTATCATAAAACATGAAAAAGTGGCTATGAAAAGGAAATTCAATTCAGATTTCAATTCCCACCAGATTCACCTATAAATTCATTGTAATGTCAATCCAAACACAGTAAGAATGTTAGCTGAGCATGCCACAGTGGCATGTGCCTGTGATCCCAGTACAGGAAGGTTGAGACAGGATGATCATAAGTTTAAGCCTAGTCTGGGCAATTTTGCAAGACCCTGTCTCACAATAAGAGATTGACACAAATAAAAAATAAAAAGGGCTGGTAATGTAGCTGAGTGCCAAGGCCCAGGATTCACTCCCTCATACCACACAAAAATAATACATACATACACACGCACACATGTACAAACAAATACTATTAGAATATTTCAAGGAAATTAAGGAATTCTTTAGCAAGACACAACATTAAAACTTATTATTTAAGTAACAGAAGAATTCTAACTTCGATATGACCAAGAAATAAGACATAAATAATTATTGAAAATCATTAAGAAACAGTGTAAAGGGGAAATGGTCAAAGACCACGCAGAACTAGTAAGGAAAAAAGAAGTATGAGTGCCAAGAAACAGGGACTCACATGTCAGCCTCACCAGTAATGGAATGGGAGGAAAGTAGGTAAGACATGCCTCCTTCCTTCAGAGTGGCGAAAACTAACAACTTGTGAAGCAGTTACAAAAGGAAAAATGTGGTCTCCTGTCATCGCAAGGAAGCATGGAGAACCTTTCCCATGGAGGACACATTCGAAGCCCCGGTGCATACATGTGGAATTGTATAGGATCCCTGTTTAGTTTAGAGCTAAAATGGCCCCCAAAGCCCCATGTGTTTGAAAGATGACTGGATTATGGGTGTGCAAGAGCTGATCTGCTGTTACTAGGCAGGGTCTGGTTGGAAAAGGGGGTCACCAGCTCCTCCCTTGCCTCTGACTTTTGGTTGCTATGGGGTGAGCAGCTTCCATCCACCACACCCGCTTCTGCCCAGAGCCAGCTGACCACGCAAGGATGGAAGCTTCTATAACATAAGCCAAAATAAATGTTTCCTCCTTTAAGTATGGGTGTTGAGTATTTTGTCTCAGCAACAGGGAAAGTGACTAAAACAATCTCAAACATTATGTGTGCTGCTTTTTTTCCTTTAGGTGCATACCCTTGATAAAGTTTAAGCACAATAAGAGATTGACACAATAACTAATAATAAAATGGAACAATGATAATGTACTATAATAAAGGTTCTGTGAATATGGTATATCTGTCTCAAAATAGTGTACTGCATATCTTAATGTAAAAGGGAACTTTACAGTTTCTCTTTGGCATATCCAAATTGCCAAGAGCACTGCTTTTGTGTTTTGGGACTATTATTAAGTAAATTAAGGGTTAAACACAAACACTATGGTGCCAACACAGTCAATCTGATGACCTAGGTGACCACAAAGTGACCAAAGGGTAGGTAGCATACACAGCATGGATACAGCAGAGTGCTCACTATGCCTCGAGTGGGATGGAGCAGGATGGCCTGAGAGTTCATCATGCTATTTAGAATGTGGCAATTATTTACTTCTGTAATTTTCCACTTAATATCTTCAGACTTGACCAAGGGTAATTAAAGCTTTGGAAAGTAAAGCTGTAGATAAGGGGTGACAAGGTACTTGGACAATGGGGGCCCTCTACTCACAGAGGACTGATGAGTTCACAGCTGAGTGTGCTGTTAGGAGGTAAGGCCCAGTTGGAAGAGATGAGTCCCAGGGGCTATGACCTAGAAGGTTCTATTCTTGTCCCTGACTCCTCCTAACCCTCCCTCTGCTTCCCGGCTGTTGTGAGTTGAGTAGCTTTCCTCTGCATTGCCATTTCTGCCTTGGTGCCAGTAGATCATTGACTGAAACCTCTGAAACCATGAGCCAAGTAAACCTCTCCTCCTTTGAGTTGTGGGTGTTAGGTATTTTGTCCCAGTGATGAGAAAGTGACTAACACAGTGGTAGAGCACGTGGCTAACATGTGCAAAAACTTGAGTTAAATCCACAGCGAAACAAACACAGCAAGACAGAAAGAAAAAGGAAGTACAGATGGGTGGTGCTGGAATTCCACAGACAGATGCCTCCTTGCTGGCAAATGTCTTCATGAACAGTACCCTCTGGCCCTGGTGATCTGCTGTGTATATCTATACTTCATTCAGTTGCCCGGTAAGATCATGCTCATGGAAAGTAATTAACAACTCTTGTTTTTATGACATTTCTTCCTTACACAAAACATGGAAAACGTAAAAGGTTCCCAACCCTAAACAAGCACACTGCCATCTTGTGTGAAGCCCAGCCAATTACTAGTGAATACAGCAAAGTACTGAGTGTGCTAGGTCTGGATTCATATGTAACTGAAATCCTCAGAGCATCAGAAAATGGCCTGAGGAAAGCAGATACTTACTGAAAGTTATGATTCGGGCTGTGCGTCGGACCTAAAAAGACAAAACAAAGAGACAAGTTACTAAGAGCTCAAGATCTGGAACATAACCATGCCCCAATCAAGCTGAAAGTGATCAGAATGGGAGCCCAGGGGCTCATCTGTGGCCAGTTGTCCTCAGCTAGGGCTCTATACTGCTTGTGAGGGCTTCCAGTGATACCAGAAAGGCAAGGCAAGGACCGCTTCCTGTTTACCATACTTTAGGAGACAGTTTTAGGGTTTTTGTTCTCTTTTCTCCCTTTCCTTGTCTAAGTTTTATACACTGAGCTGAATGGTTTTACTAACTGGAATGGCACAAGGTGGATTTGGATGACAGGCCAGGACATTTACCACCTGGCCCTTCCCACAACTGGGACTAAAGGACACATTCCTTCCTGCCATGCATTCCTTCTCCATGTGGGAAGCTCAGAGGTTCAAAGCTGTCATCACTCTGCTCTCCCAGTCCAGCTGGGCCAGGTATGCACGGGACACAGAGGGCAGAACCTGGCAGAGGCTATGGCTGGCCAGCTTGGGCCAGTGCAGCAGATACCTGACCTCTCACTGCGGGTCCCAGCTCATCTTGCCCATAGGTGGGTCTCTCTTTGTCTGTTTTTTTGCAGTACTAGTAAATGAGTAGTAGGCAGGTTGAGGACCTGCCACTGACAAGAGGAAAGGCTTTGAGGAATGGTTTTATTGATTTTTTTATCATGTGGATGTGTATTTACTTTCAAATAGCAAATTAATCTCTTGCTCTTTCTGTGGATGCTCCTGCCTGTTAACTCACAAGCAAACCATCCGACTCACCGAGCCGCACGTAGAGAACTCCAGTGGCAGTGATGGTCTTCACTCCATTGGTGGCCACACACTGGTAGTAGCCAGTGTCTGTCGTGTCCAAGTCTTGGATTCTCAGTCGAGAGCCATATTCTGTCTTCCGGATAATGATCCGCCTGGGCTCCTGCACGACTGGGGCATCGTTCTTCAGCCATCGCACATTGGGGGGTGGGTTTCCTGCCACCTTGCAGTGCAGGATTGCCGTCTGGCCCTGGACGATGGTGATGTTGTTTACTGGTTCCAGAAAATTCAGAAAGTAATCTGCCAAGAAGGGGGTCACGAAAGAGCAAACATCAGCAGGGGCTGGGAGGCGCTGAGGCTCCTGCAGGAACTATGGTGGTGGGGAGGCATCTATTCACTTATCTCCGCATACACAACCTCGTCCAGTTGTAGGCAGCAACTGCGCTGCACTCTAGAATGCTGCCATGAGCACCGAGTTAGTGAACGTGAGCTGAAGAGGAAAACAGAGGGTCAGCTTCCTTCAGCCTTTGGTCACAGTGTTTTGTCAACCAATTAATACATAACTTGTTTTGGCTGAAAGATTCCTTATTTAACACTTTGTTGTTCATTTTCATAGAGGTCATAGTCAACAGTACTGTAACTCCTGTCTGAAAGAAGCTCCTCTGACACATGTTTTCTATAGAAGGCACACCATAGACTACACACACTGGACACCACTTCAGCACTGTGCTTGGCGGCCCTTTGAAACATACGAATCATCAACAAAAAAGGACAAAAGTCCCAACAATGTGACACTAAATAGGCCAAGGAAAGGATGTGAGTTCACAGCTCAAAAGATTAAACTAGTAAACACATTGCCTTGTCCAACAATGGCTAGGAACGTGGGTCTTCAATATTCCTGTGGAAGACGCAAGAACATGAGTGCTGACCCCAGGCTGTGAATACATTCTACCCATTTGGTGAACTTCAGCTGCATAATCCGCAAATGAGGCTCAACTGTACTTCTCTTGTTGAACACTCACCCTAACCTGGGCTGGTCAGTATGATGTAAATTCTGTACCTGCTTAAGCACAAAACCACATTAAGATAAACATATAAGGAAAATGTACCTGACCAGGGAGCAGGCAGAGCTGTTCCTAAGGAAGGAGCTGGAAATGCCACACCCTTGGGTGTGGAGGCCCCAGCCAGACCAAGATTTAAGGCCGTGGAGGAGGAGAGAAGTCAGAGGCAGAGAGAGATTAGCATGTATGCACACATGCACGCACATGTAAGTGTGCATCTGTGTGTGGCATGTCCATGTCCGTGCGCGTGTGGTCTTTGTGTGCATACACCTGGGTGAGTGGTCCAGGGTACAGGGTACACTCTCAAGATAAACAAACAAAATGAACTTCTATAACAGTGTAAAGAAACAAATGTTGGATAACACAACCAGTCATGAGCAGATGAATTTATGTCAGACAAAACTAATATACTAATATAAAGCAATGTTAAAAGATGTTCAATTTTCTTATAGGAGATGCGCAGTGCTTGCAGCAAATCTGCACATATCCTCCCATATATAAGGCATCTCTAAATTGTTCATAATACCTAAGACAATGTAAATGCTTGGAGATAGTTGTTAAATTATTTAGGGAATAACAAGAAAAAGCCTATACACATTCAATGCAAACACAATTCTTTGTTTTAACATTTTGATCTGCATTTGGTTTAACCTACAGATGCAAAACCCATGGGTATAGGATGTCGACCGTACATTCATGTTCAGAAATTTCTGGCTTGCTTTTGAGTTGGCCCCAGTCCCTTCTTCTAAAATAAAGCTGAAAGATGGCATTTATCTATTTGCTTATTTAGCTGAAAAATTTAGGGACTTCTAGTGGACCTGTAGCTGAAAAACTTTGTTGTACGGCCATGGGCCCCACTGTTGAGTGGGAGGAGGTGGACTTGAAGATGAGGGCATAGTCGTCCGTCACAGGCCTGACTGCAAAGGAGTCACTAATTTGCAGAGATTACTATTTGTGATTGCTATTAGCAAAGTCATTAGGTTCCACTTTGACTGTATGTGAGCCAGCCCTTTTCTATGTTTATTTTCAGACAAGGTCTCACTAAGTTGTATGGTGTGGGCTCAAACTTGCAATCTTCCTATCTTGGCCTCTCAGAAGGCAAGGATTACAGGTGTGTGCACAAGCCCAGCTCCAACTATTCCCTACTGCACTTACTCAGTTATGTTATAGACGGTAATTCTTATAGATGACACGGTTGGAAGGTAACTGAAATACTGACAATGCTCAGAAAGCGAGGCTGATCCATAGGCTCCACTTCTAGACGTACACTCTTCACTAGTTCAGCCACACAAGTGCCATGCTGGAAGTCTTATGTTCCCCAAACTCCTGAGTTCTGGACTCCATTCCAACTTTGTTGAACACAAGATCTAATCTAATTTGACCACCCAAAGCAGATATAATGTGGGCGGTCCATATTAACACATCATCTTACCATGCTCTGGCCAGGCCACGTTTGCACAGGGACTGAAAAGAATTTTCCTAAATGGCTACAATTATTCTGGGAGGTGGTGATGAAAATCTGCCCTGCTGAGAATGGGCCAGAGTAGGGTCTCTGGATGGCACCCAAATCCCAACCTAGGCCCAGAGCCAGCCACCTTCAGTGCCCACTCAGTGGGAACAAAACCAAATACTGATACTTAGGGAACTACGTATACTGATAGCTCTCTTGATCAAAAGAAACTGAGAAGCCAGACAATGTAAAATGGCTAGTTCTTCCCACCCTGCCTCCCTAGGGAGGAGATCCTTTCTCTCTCTAGAGCACACCTGTTCCTCACTGCTCAGGAGGCCAGGAGCACTCTTTCCCCAGAGGTCTTAGCCATTTCGCAGAGTCTAGTCTCTTCTAAGGATCATTGCACAGAAGCAGTTCCCTGGCTGCTCTATCTAGACAACTCCATTCATGCCCTCCACCAGTCTGCGGGCTGTTGCTAGGGCAGTATCACACCTGCTAGATGGTGATGAATGAAGTACATGCGGACAAGGAGAATAACACCTATTACTTTCAGGGAGATTTCTTCTCTAGATTTTAGAATCATTTCAATAACTTCCATTTAAAAAACAGTGTTTTGAACCAAGGGGTCCTAAGTCCAGCCATAATGATGTTTATCTGGAACAAAGGCCTCGACCCAGGGCCAAACCTGGATTTTATTAATTCATGAAGAAGGGAGTGGCTTGAGGATCAGTGACTATGAGAGTGGCAGGAATAATGACTTGCAGGATAAAGACATGCACGTACAGACGATTTGTGTGAGTGGCCCTCTGGACAACTCCAAGGAAGCATAGCTCATGTCTCTATTTCAGACCTGCTGCAGCTCCACTCAGTAGAGGTTTTTAATTTTCGTTATACAGATCTTTGCATCTATTTTTCAGGTGGATTTCTAGCTATTTTATGATTTCCCTTACTCCATTGAATTTTGCTTTATTTGTATTATTCTTGTGGTTTAGGGATATAGAAAAACTATGAGATAGCAATTTTCTATACATTATACTCATTTCCTATTCCACTGTAACACATGCACTGGTAGTATAAAACAACATAGATTTATTATCTTATACTACAGATGTTAAGAATCCCAACATCAAGGTCTCACTGAAGCTCTTGATGAGAACCTAGTTTCTTGTCTTTCCTACCTGCCAGAGGCTGCCATTTTGTCCTGGCTCCGGGCCCCCTCCTTGCATCTTTGTTTCCACCAGCACACCTCCTTTGCAGACTGGTCCTACTGATTTCATTTTCTAAGGACCCCTGGGTTGCCCTGGGCACACAAGGAGAACCTTCCCATCTCACCGTCCTTAATCACATCTACAAAATCCCTGTGCATAGGAGATGACATAATCACAGGTTAGGACATGGACAACTTTGTGGAGTCTACCACATAAATTTCCTTTTACTGAGTCACTCTACTAAGCTCTATTAGTCAAAATACTTTGCTAGTTGACTGTTTTGAGCTTTCTACGTAATTATTGTCTGCTTCAAATAAAGTATCTATTTTAGCTATCAAAATTCATTCTTATTTTCTTTGCCTAATTGCTCTTTTCAATATTCTTCTTGCATTAAAGAATTCTAGATGCTAAAATGTTGCAAGCATACAGAAATTAATATGATATATACCCAGACACATAATCTCAAA